AGGAATGTTACTCTTCCCAGTAGCAAGGATTCTTAATCAGAGGGGTGTCGCAAAATCACCCAGGAGGGGTCGATTTGTTTATGTGACTGCTGGTTTTTAAATCAGACATTCAATCCCCATCCCAGACCTACTGAACCCAAATCATGGGAGAGAGGAGGGAAAGGGACAACCTCCCCTTGTCTGCATGTATGGAGAAAGGAAATATATTTGCACGTTTATGAGTTAAGTCTCAGCACATGCCAAAAAGTCACATGGAAGTTAACCCCCCATCATCAGTTTCTTATTTATGCTCCCAGACATATTTTACACACTTAAATGCCTACATTTATATACATGAAATATGTATATATCCCCATTAAGTAAATGTATCACACTAAATAATTTTTTTTTAATGATCAATAAGTGATTCAGATGCACACCGGAGGCTGGAAGCCATTGCCCTCAAGCAGTGGCTGCAAAATAGCTTCAAAAATCTGTTTAGTACTGTAGCGTGTTGGTTTATTTTTAAGTGAAATAATTGCCAATGTTTAAAAATCATAATGAAGTACATTTAATTCGAAAATTCTAGTTTCCCCTGAGAAATTGAAATATTTGGCCACACTGAACCTAGTTTTCCATTTGGCAGTCATTGGTGGACCTGGGGATCATTGTGACTGCTGTACTCTTGGACACTAGTTGGCCACAACTGTCCCCAGGTCAGTTCAGTTCACTCTGCTCTCTAGGATCTCCCTACAGTGTTGGACACTCCTCATCAACATGTTTCTGTTGTTTTTCTAACAGTAGGGCTAAGAGAAAAAATTGAGACATTTCTTGAACCCGTATTTCTGTCAAAAGTAGAAAAATAAAACACTTAAGAAGGCAATGTGTCTTTTGAAAAGGGGAAGAGGGATGTTTCTTTCACCATGAGGAAAATTCTTTCCTCTTTAATATGCGAGATGAGTCCTTCACTCATTGATATGCACTGGATACCGAAGGCTTTGAGGTGGAAGATGGCTCCCAGCATACATATTCACACATATTTAAGCACAGGATAAATATGGATAAGCACACCATTTTCTGATATCTGAGAAAAACTCCACTCACAATTTCACTTCCTCTACAAAGTACGGAAGCATTTGACTGGTGGCATGGGTAATGTTTTTATGTTTTTCTGCGGAAGGATTAAGAAGGGGACATATTGGTCTACTACCTTTTGACATTTTGGTGGCTTCCAGGGCCTCAATCCAGCCTTCTTTCTGAAGTTAGTCCTGTCCTGCTCTTTGACAATTTGAAAATCCTGTTCTTTTTCTGTTCCAAAGATAGCGTTGGCTGTCTCTTCTATATCAGGATTGGGTTCAGCTGCCTGTAACTAGAACCCAAAATTTTGGGTTCTAGTGGCTTAAATAACATACGTTGTTTGTTCTCATAAGAATCTGAGGTAGGCAGTTCCCAGACACTTGGTGGCTCTGTGATCACCAGAGGCATGGGCTTCTTCCTTCCTTGTGTCCCACAGCCAAACATGTGGTTCCTTTCCGCCAGGTCAATTCAGTCAATGATTGATAGAGCCTCGTGGTTGGGAAAGCTAGATTCTGTGTGGCTGACTGTGGTTCAAATCTCTCTCTCCCCGGCAAGCACACGTAAACTATAGCAAAAAATATTTTTTAATTATATCACCCTTCCCAGAACAAAAATATTTCCCACTTATTGAAATGTTATTGTGAACATTTCACCACAATTTGGTATGCTGATTTTAGAACTACTGAGGCTTTTGCACTATCATTGTAAGCATTCACTTAAGCAGTTTAAGTTGTTAGTCTAGGTGAGTTGAAACTTGACAAATTTCTACACCGAGCTCTCATATTTTATGTGAAACCTGAATGTAGTAAAGTGATTAGACACTGTAAATCACACTGCTGTATGGTCTTGAGCTTGGACAGTTCCTTTAGATTTTCTCCTTTCTCACCTTAAGTTCAACAGCAATAATATGGGCTAGCACTGCTGCTGTTTGAATTCCGGGCAGCTGCTGTCCCGTGCTTACATCAGCAACCCTGAATGAATGTTTAGCTGAAATAATTATTGCTTAGCATTTATTGAGACCTGTCAGTGGGTTAGATGTAGAGAGATGGGGGATGAGGCACTTATCCTAATGAGTTGGAATTTGAAGCACATCAGCTTAATTCATTGCAAGCAGCTTTCAGAGAAAATGGAACAGAAAGCTCTGTTGTGTATTCTACTAGCCTGGTTATTTATAAGTCATCACAAGAAAAGTAAGAAAGTGCTCACTTCTGTTGTCCCTCAAGATAGAACCTCCTGTTCAGAATTTTCTAGACAGCACAAGCAACAATACACTCTTCTGGCCAGGTAGGTCTGATCCTGTGACCCTTCTATTTAAACCTATCAGAGGCTTTGCATCTTTGCAGGCTAAGAATCATAGTACTAAACTGGGAAGACTAAACCCTGACAGCAAGGTCAGGCCTTGCTTCCCAGTCTCCGATTCTATACCTCCCATCTCAAATCCCTACTCTCTCTGGCCCACCATGTTGGCATAGCAGTAACACAACACTCATGATGCTGAGACCATATGGGAAGGTCTCTGGTTCATATCCTGAGGTATTCCTGTGCACACTAGATGCATGTCCATAATCCCAGCTGATTGAGGCTGGGGTGGAATGGCAGCACAAAGACCCTGTTAGGATGTGCCTCTCTCCCTTTCTGTCTCTCTCTCTCCTTCCCTCTGCCTCTCCCTATCTCACTCCCATTCTCATGGAAGAAATAAACTTTTTAAAACCCCCCTCATCCCTTTCAGCAGTTCTTTGAATCTTCCTCAGTTCCTTGAAGACCCCAGACCTTTTCACTCCATGACGTCTTTGCCTCTGTTATTATTGTAGTTCCTCTCTACTCCATGCTTGACAGACTCCTACCATCTTTTTTAAAAAGAATGATTTTATTTTATTTATTTATTTTTATTGCTCAGTTTGACCAGAGAGAGACAGACAGAGAGACAGGAAGAATGAGAAGGCAAGCTGCCAGATCCAGGATTCAAACCATGGTCAGCCATGTGGGAGTCCAGCATCTTAACCACCATGCCACCTGCCAGCCCCAGATTCCGACTATCTTTTAAGAATCAGCCCAAAACACATCTGCCATGTGAAGGTCATACGATGCCTATAGGAGATGTGACTGCTTCTTACTACTCAGAATAACTCCACCTGTTGAGCCACCTCCTCTGGGTCAATGAGGTTCCAACAACACTGTGAGAGAGGCATTTTTTTTTGGAGAGGTTTTCGCTATAGGGCACGTGCGCTCACTAGACAGACAGAGACATAGAGACAGAAAGCGAGAAATAACCCCCCAGGGGGGATGGTCACGCCGCAATCCCTTCTCCTCCATTCTCCTGAGAGAGGTATTTTTAATCCCCACTTTATAAATGAGAAAACTGAAACACAGAGGTTAGCACACCTACCTAAAGTCACAGAGCAGCTGGGAAGTAGCACAGTAGACTCAAGCAAAGTCTAGAGGGTTCAAAAACACCTCCACCTTGGGAACCAGCAATTAGCGTAATGGCTATGTCACTGGACTCCCACGTAGTCGACCACGGTTCGCGTCCCAGACCCAGTGACTTAAAACTCACGCCAGGGCGCATGCGTGTGCGTGCCCAAGATCCCGAGAGGAGAATGGAGGAGAAGGGATTGCGGCGTGACCATCCCCCCTGGGGGGTGATTTCTCGCTTTCTGTCTCTGTGTCTTTCTCTGTCTGTCTGGCGAGCGCACGGGCCCTATAGTGAAAATCTCCCCCCCCAAAAAAAAAACACCTCCACCTTTCCAGGCCTTTCATTCCTCTGTGAGGCCCTCACTGACTCTATCACACCACCATGCACAGGGCATCAAAAGGACAAGTTTACCATCCCTCCTCACATACATGTAAGGTCCTCCTGAGCATCTCGGGTGCTCAATAGATGTGGCTAAATTTATTTATTAATTATTATCATTATCAGTCCTTCAGTCACCTCTGGTTTCTTCATGGAAAATTCTCCTGGACTTTTATTTTAGGACAATAGTCCTTGACCCTTTTCCTATAAGCTGGATGCTCCCTGGAGGTACCTGCAATACTGAGTTTGGGGTTGTACATAGGTCTATCCTGTTTCTCAAAACCAAGCAAGATGCCAGCATAGAATAAAGTTTAATTCATTTTCTGTCTTCCACACCCCTGCTGCAGTCCTTCTTGGCCCACTTTTCCCATCCAAATGATATTGCTTTGAGGGGATGGAATGGTATGAGTTTGAATTAGACAGACCTGGGTTGGTATCTTGGCTTTGTTACTGCCCAGCATGTGACTTTGACCATGGTTTAGAACTCCTCCACATCATAGGGTTCTCATTTGTAAAATACAGATTATAATTGCATCTATTTCACAAGAGAAGGTTGAGGGGCTGGATAGGTAGCATAGGGGTAAAACACTGTGAGACTTAATTTCATGGGTCACTTCCAGAGACATCCATGAGGATGCCAGCCACATGTGTGCCCGTGGTCTGTGACTGGCTGAGTCTGAGGATGGATCACAGAGTCAAGACCTTGTTAGGGTGCCATCTCTCTCACTCATGGAAGAAATAAATAAATATAAATTTTGAAAAAATGATTTTAAGGTGGGCATCAGAATTTAGTGAGATAATGCTTACAGAATTAACCCAGTTCCTCACAATAATAATTCTGTGGATAATTGAGGTATGACTTGATATGGGCTTTAATTGAATTGTATGCAGGAATTTGTTTTGTTTTGTTAGCCATAGGGCATTTGCACTTACCAGAGATAGACAGAGAAAGTCAATGAGAAGGAAAATGAGAAATGCCCCTCCCCCCAGGACAGATGGCTATGCCACAATCCCTTCTCCTCCACTCTCCTCTCGGTGTTTTGGCCATTAAGGTACATGCGTCCAGCTTGTTTTTTAAGCCTCCATGTCCAGGAATCAAACCATGGTCAGCCATGAGATAGTCCAGCACTTAACCACCACACCATCTGCTGGCTCCAAGGGAATGTTTCCTTATGAAAACTAATTTCTGAAGTTATTTGACCTTTAAAATTCAAAAGAATCAAATATAATGGCAAAATATCCACTAGGGAGACTGGAAATTTTGCTCAATTGGTATCTGATGAAACTACTGTTAGGAGACTGTCCGTACATAGACAATCTGCCACTAGATTCACTTAAATAGACTGAAAGATAGATCTTAGTTCATGGTTTTTTTTTTCTTTTCCTTTATTTTTTTTTTTTATTATGCTAAGGACCACTTTGCCCAAATACAACTGTCACACTCAATACTGTAATGATTTCAATTCCTTCTTACTAGAGTACTAAAAAAAAAAGTCAAGTTACCTTTTTTTCCCCTAATTATTGAGTATTTACGTGTCACTAAATGCTTTACACTTGTTCTCCAATCTTCACTATAACTGGAAAGATAGTGCCTCAGGTTGCTACTGTGACGCTTACAGAAATACCTGAGACTGGGTGATTCTTAAAGCATGAAGGTTTGTTTGACTCATGATTTTGGTGACTGGAAAGTCCAAAGGCACAGGCCAGTACACAACATGTCCAACAGAAGCAGAGAGGATGGCGAGTGCAAACAGCAAGAGAGACCTAGGGGGGCAACCATCTTCCTTTTCAAACAACCTGCTCTCACAACAACTAGCCCCTTCCTACAGGAGCCAAAACCTACAAGGACATCATTAATCCGTGCATGAGAGTGATGCCTCTATGATCCACTCAACACTCAAGAGGCTTCTCAAAACTCTCACCACTTCATAAGGCCTTTACACTGGGCACCAAATACTAACACATGAACCTTCGAGGCACAAACAATGGTTAACAGACCAGTTATTTTCACCACTTTATAATGTGAGGAAATTGAGGTTTAGATAGGTTGTGTCATTTACCCAAAGTCATATAGCTAAAAAGTAGAGAATCAGGGAAGCCTAATCTTATCTGACCTCAGAGCCCAAGCTTCTGTTGATTACACAATTTGGTCAGTTTTTTAAATGGACTTAAATCATTTTTGTGATTCCCTTCCATTTCCAGGTATCTAGAACATCTATCTCTTAAAATCAGCAGTGTGTTGATGAATGTTTGACAGCTGGCTTTCTGGAAGAAAAATCAATGCTTGCTAATTTTCATGATATAACTACTCCCACCATAGCCAATTTCAAGACACTAGTGGGATGTCAAACAGCTCACAAAATTACTGAAAACATAACCATTAGCTTTTAAGAGCATATCCCATGATATGCCCAACTCCAGCACACCACTACTTGTAATCAAAGTTAGAGAACAGCGATTTCCCAGCTGCTTTCACTGACTCCATCTCTAGGTCAGTGACTCAATCCTAGCTACACATTTGAATCACCTGGGAGCTAATAAAAATCTGACTCCCACCACCCCACCCCTAGAGATTCTGATTTAGGGACCAGCAGTTAGCATAATGGCTATGTCACTGAACTCCCATGTAGTTGACAATGGTTCGAGTCCCAGACCCGGTGGCTTAAACTCACGCCAGGCACGTGTGTTAGTGTGCCTAAGATCCCAAGGAGAATGGAGAAGGGATTGTGGTATGGCCATCCCCCCTGGGGGGTGATTTCTCGCTTTCTGTCTCTCTGTCTCTCTCTGTCTTTCTGGCGAGCGCACACGCCCTGTAGCAAAAACCTTTCCCAAAAAAAAGAGATTTTGATTTAGTGTCTCTGTGTTGTGGCCAGGACAACAATGTCTGCTTTTAATTCTTCAGATCGTTCCTATGTACAGTCAGAATTGAGACACACTTCTCTAGAACACATCTTACTGAGCACCCATTCAATCATCAAGGATTTGAAGAATATATGATAATTATACCATATCTATATTATTTTTATTTTTTTCCACATTTAACTCTTATGGAATGTGTAACCAACTGGGCTTGTTTGTAAAATTTTACTTAAATTGGTTAATTCAAGAAGTGGTTTCTGGTACCTTTTCCTTCCATTTAAATAGTGACCAGCATACAACAGAAACACAGTAAAATATAGCTATCATTTATTTCCTTGTTAACATATTAAATTTGGTTATCTTTAGAAACTTTTATAAAATACCTTATTTATTGTATTTTATAATTTGCACTTGGTAGTCTCTCAGATGATTGATGCAAATATGTTTGTTCCCAGGACAAAATTTTCAGCATCTCTCCCCAAACAGACCCAAAATCAAGGATCTTCCTTTTACTCGGAACAACCTAGCTCCCCTACCAGACCAAAAATGTAAGTATTCTAAATTTTGATTAGCTTCCTTTGCGAATGCTTACACATCTAGACACAACTAAATGTTATTTCAGTTTACTTTCATTTTTCAAGAGAACATCAGTTGCCAAAGAAAATTACAAGGATATAGAGTCTTTAAAGCTTCATCCACTTGGTAATATCTATTTTAAAAGAAATATTTCATCTTTCAGGAATTCATGTGTGTTCAAATGATAAAAACAATCATAGAAGTTTACTTTGCTATGTATTAATTAATGCCTTTAAGAAAGTGCTTTAAAAATTCTTAAGACTGGCCTCCTTCCTCCTGATACTGTTTTTTTTTTTTTTTTCCTATGTTGGACAGATGGAAATGGGTGTATTCTCATAGTTCATGCTTTCTTAAGCAGAAAGGAGATGCTGTCCATCAAAACTGCCAATTCCATTAGCATTGTTGATTTATCTCGTAATTGTATTTTATACAAAGAAATTTCACAATAAAACATTCATGTATTTTCATTGGACTGGTGATCTTCAAACTTGAGTACCTAAGTTAAGTATGAGGTGAGGTGCTTGCTATGAAATAACTTCCTGGGCCCATACCGAGAGATTTTGAGTTTGTGTATCTTACTATCTGTATTCTGTGGCAAGCTCTATTACTATTCCCATTGTGCAAATGGGAAAACTGAGGCCAGTTTACGCGAATTGCCCAATATCACGTAGGTAGCAAGTAGCAGAGCCAGGAGCAAAAGTACGGGCTCCTGAGTCTACTGTCTCATGAAACATGCTATACCGATTAGTTTCTAATTTCTTTTCTTCTGTTTCTTTTTATTCCACCCCACCCATTTATAACATACATATACACGTGCACATAAACACACAAACTTCTGCATCCTCTTAAGTGTAAGTTAATTGATTTAGGCTCTGCCTCTACTGTTTCAGGTAAGTTTCTCAACCTTTATGTACTTTACTTCACTTTAGCTGCAGCAATAATGCCAGCCTGATATAATTATTGGGAGGAGTAAGTGAGATAACAATATAAAACACAGGACATACTGTTTGCACAGAGTAAATATCCAGAATGCCTATTCTCTCCTCCCAGGCTAGAGTTAGGAAGAGACCAGCCAAGAGTTCTAGGAGTCTTTTGGAAAAAAAAAAAAAAATACAGAGCTATGGGGTCTACGGACCACAAGCCTGTTTTTTGTTTGTTTGGTTTGGTTTGGTTTTTTTTTTTTGCAATAAGGAAGCTAAAAAGTGAGGGAATGTGTCCAAAGTCACACAGAGATATACTAGCAGAAACCAAGATCTCTTCCTTGATAGATCCATTCCTCTGCCTTTTGTAGATTTGTGTGAAGTGAGCGTTTCCAGTGGTGTCACTTCTATCACTAACATTCAAGCCTGAGCCTATCTTTAAATAGTGCAGAAGATCCCTAATTAAAGAAAGAGTAACTTAGTTTTGAATCCTGGTAGGGCTTGGAAAAGCCAAAGAGAGATTTGCTTTTCACAATTAAGTTTCAGGAGAGAGAAAAAATAAAGATCTTTGATCATCTTAGCTCTTCGAAAAAGAAATGGAAGGGCACACAGTGTCTTTCCTAAAAGAAACCTGAGAATCTTTGAGGTTTGCATAAAAGCACAGTACAAATGTCTCAGGGCTTCTTTAGAACCTTGTGCTGACTTGCACATCATCAGCTACTCCACTGCAAGGGAGAACTCTGCCAGGCACATACGGCCTGACCACATCACAATCAAATTGGGTGCAATCTTCTATTTGTGCATATTTGAGATTCATTACCACTGCCCTAATAGACAGGTATCCTCTGTAATCTGACTTTCACCAAAAGAAAGCTCAGAAATGCCTCCACTCCTTGAGTAATAACACAATTGTCCTGACACTATCCCTCATCAGACGTTGAAGGAGAAAATCTTACAAGTCTCTCACTCTGTTCTTCTACCCCAGTTCTATCTGGAGAACCTTTACGGACAAACCGAGTTCTTCCTGCTATTCCAAGTCAACGAGGACACAGCACACCAGCTACAGAGCATGAGCACTCTGCCTGTCCCATCAATGATGAAAATTAACTGTGGGCCACTCACCGCAGATAAATAGACTGTAAAAATAAATATATTTTTTCAACTTTCAAAGAGTGAGATTACTCTAGTTTGTGAGAAACAAAGACTAATTTAGTAAGCTGCATTCTATAAGCCATTTATAGTTTTATAACTCAACACTCCTTATTACAAATGAAGAAACTCCCTATATAAGCACTTAGAATCTTTGAGTGTATATATACATATATATTGTAAGTCTTTAAGTTTCTGTGACCTCTACAGGCCAACATTAAAAGACAAAATATGTTATCAG